CAGGGGAGTGAGCTTGCTGTGCGCCCTCCTTGGTGCCCTAAGGATCTTGAACTCCACCATTTTGTGGTCACTGCAGCCCAGGCTGCCCTTGAACTTCACATTCCCCACCAGCCCCTCCCTGTGGGTGAGAACAAGGTCCAGCATAGCACCTCTCCTCGTTGGCTCTTCTACCACTTGGAGAAGGAAGTTATCATCGACACATTCCAGCAACCTCCCGGGTTGCTTATTCCCTGCCATGTTTTCCCTCCAACAAATGTCGGGGTGGTTGAAGTCCCCCACGAGGACAAGGGTTTGTGAGCGTGAGGCTGCTCCTATCTGTCTATAGAGAGCCTCATCTGCTCGGTCTTCCTGGTCAGGTGGCCTGCAGCAGACCCTCACCGTAATGTCACCCATCCCTGCCTTCCCTTTAATTCTGACCCATAAGCTTACTCAGGAAATGAGAGCAGAAATATGCGATGTCTAAGTGCAGACACAGCTGCATGTTACATGTAGTTTATCACCAGCTCAAGACTGATGGGAGCAGCTGGTGAGCCCAGACCCCCAGCTCCATGAAGAAAGGAACTTTCTTTCACCTCTGAGCTCCCTGTCTGGAGGTCTCCCCTAGATGGGGTGACAAACCCAGCTGACTCCATCCTGCAGTGGGAGCACACTGGGGATCATTGCCATGTACTGCCTCTGACTGCTCCCACAGGGCCATCTCTTCAAAAGTATGAGGAAGCTGTGATGCACCTGTCAGCCAGGTGAAGGTTTTAGGTATTTAGCTGGCAGGTTCAGGAAGACTGGCCATCATGATTTATGATGGCAGGAGCAGAACAATTTCTTATGAAAACATGGGTAACTAGGGTTTCTTTTTTGCTGAGAAAGTGCCTGGTGACCTTTAACTACTGTGTAAAAGGAGTGTGACATCACCAACTGATTTTTTAAGTCACACTTAAAGCGTCAACTACTTTTTGTGACATTCTCCGGGACCACACATCAGACTGAGCTGCTTTGTGAACTTAGAGGAAAATTTACTTTTTAAATCCTCACAGACATTAGACTGAGCTGTCTAGCTAATTCCAGACTGCAGGCCTATGGGGAGTCACAACGCCTGGGAAAATATGAAAAGTACAAGTGGCCATCTAGAAACTGATACACTGCTTTGTTATGAGTAAAAGTTTCAGGTATCTGGAAACTAGAAGGCGTGACTTGAGTGGCCAGTCCCACAAAATGAATAAACAAACATTAAATGAAATGAATTATCTGCAGCATTTGTCTACGCATGTCTTCAGCTCCTGAAAAGATACATAAGAAGTCTATTTGCACAATTTCTTATAGCATCCTCAGAAAAAGGTTTTGTTTATTAGATTATTCCCTATTAGTATTTTCCCCAGATATAATGACAGGGATTGTTAAATTCATTTCTTTTCAAGTAAGTTATCTTTAATGTCTAAATATATAAATAGTAATGTATACAAAGTTTTAGAAATGTGTTTTATGTAAGATCATAAAAAGTTACATGAAAATATATGATAAAAATTATGCTAGTAACATTATTTCTTCCACAGATGATGTATTTGAAAAAAGAGTAGATTTTTTTATAGACCAAGCAAAAGAATCTGTTTGTTTCAATCTATAGCACCTTTTAGCATGAATACTTAATTTTGGTATATTTTGACTGTAGATTCAGTGTACATAAAAATATTTTTGTAGGGTAGATGCCACAAAATAAGATAGCATTCTGTTGTTTTAGTTATTGCATACCCAGATTTTCCTATTGCATTTAAAAAGAATCCAAGAAAAATATCCTACAGTTTACACATATAATGTGGGCAATTTTAATAAAAATGTCATTAAATACATTTATTATAAACGGACATAAAACAATCTTGCTATATTCTCATAATGTTGTCTTACAAAGGGAAACCATCAGGGCAGCAGGCACTGCTTATGTCCATTCATTCTATCTTAGCGTATCTGCAGAGATGCACAAAATCTCACACTTGGAAGAAACTAATCTCTCAACAGTGGCTGTGTGAGGAAATGGTAATTTGGCTATGTAATCAAATTGCAATGTGTTCAGTTAGCAGATGTGAGCAAATAAAGAGAAAACCAAATTTAGATTTTGTGCCAATTGCTCTTTTATATGCTTGCTTGTTTTTGAGGACTCCCTATGATTTTTTTTCTAATTTTCTTGGTGGTGGTAACACACGGCATGGTTTTGTACACCTTCCGGCTGCAGCACTGCGATTTGCCAACAGATCATAGAATCATAGAATCATTAAGGTTGGAAGAGACCTCTAAGATCATCGAGTCCAACCATCAACCCAACAACACCATGCCCACTAAACCATGTCCCTAAGCGCCTCATCTACCCGTCTTTTAAATACTTCCAGGGATGGTGACTCAACCACTTCCCTGGGCAGCCTGTTCCAATGTTTAACTACTCTTTCAGTAAAGAAATTTTTCCTTACATCCAATCTAAACCTCCCCTGGCGCAACTTGAGGCCATTTCCTCTCGTCCTTTCGCCAGTTACTTGGGAGAAGAGACCGACACCCACCTCGCTACAACCTCCTTTCAGGTAGTTGTAGAGAGCAATGAGGTCTCCCCTCAGCCTCCTTTTCTCCAGGCTAAACAACCCCAGCTCCCTCAGCCGCTCCTCATAAGACTTGTTCTCCAGACCCCTCACCAGCCTCGTTGCCCTT